CCCCCAGCCACTATAGGGATCTCCTTGATATTCTGGTAGACACGTACAAGTTCCATCAAGACAATTTGCATTTGCTCCACAAGGAGATGGATTACATGGATCATCAAAAACAGGTTCTTTTGCTGAACATAATGAAAATTAGGTTCATATTTTGTATAGTTAACAAAGTAAAGATATTTCTTACGTGGTGGAGGTTTAGGGTAACAATTTGTAAATGGATCGCCAGTGTCATATTCAGAACATGTACAAACTGGAGTATGATTTATCACATTGCATTGAGCATTTATTCCACAAGAGCCTGGACAGGGATCGCGACATTTCTCGTTTATGCAAGCTTTATTACTTGGACATTCTGAATTGATGGAGCATTCAGGTCTACAGTTTGGAGGGGATCCCATATATGAAGGTAAGCATGAGCACGATGGTGATCCATTTATATCACGGCATTGAGACAAAGGACCACAAGGAGAAGGATTGCATGGATCTCGATAGATATCTTGTTGTGGTGGAATGACAGGGACTGTGACAAAGAAAATTATGTAGAAATATGGAAAAGAATTCTCTGGTTCTTGTCTTACGTGGTTGTTGATAACATCTTGAGAAAGGATCTCCTGTGTAACCACTTTCACAATAACAAACAGGACTATGGTTATTAACTCTACATTTTGCATTTTGTCCACATGTTCCTGGACATGGATCAACACATTTCTGATTGGAACATGCTTTGTCATGATCACACTCGGAACTGACAACGCATTCGGGTCGACAACCGGGAGGGCTTCCAACATAATTTGGAAGACATTTACAAACAGCTTGATTATTAAGTTCTTTGCATTGGGAGTTGGGACCACAAGGTGAAGGTTGACATGGGTTGACATATGTTGGTACTAACGCTATTTATATGAGAGGTTACGTATATTATAAGAAGTTTTGTATTTTGAACGTTTGTTTTAAATTCGATAGAAATTTTGATTCTTGTAGAATAAGTATGGTTAGAAATCGAAAAATATATGTTTTGGAGTTGTAGAAATTAATTAGCGACGACTTCAGGGTGTTTTTTAATTAACCAACTACCCAATACGTGTTGCAATTTATATTTTTGATATTAATTTTTATCTAGCGTATGCAGGGAAAATTACTAAGCAAAAGCATCTTTATATTTGGTTATTAAGGTAAAAGCTCTTAACGTTAGGGAATTTTAAAATATTTCATTTCTTACGTTCGTTTTGTTTAAAAGTACATTGTCTAAATGGATCACCAACATATCCAGAAATACAAGTACAAGACGGCAGATGTTTAACAACTTGACATTTAGCATTTTGAGCACATGTTCCGGGACAAGGATCTTGGCATTTGTTTTTCATACAAGCAAGACTCGAGGAACAATCAGAATTCAAGATACATTCAGGTCGGCATCCTTCATATGGATTTCCTATATAATCTTTGATGCATATGCATGCACCTGCTTCATTATTTTCACGACAGATTGCATTGGGACCGCATGGAGATGGAGTGCATGGTTGGATTATTTCTTTTATGGGATCTTCTGTAAAGGTTCACATGTATAAATTTATCTTCAACGTAATTTTCATAAGAGTTTGTCAATGGTGTTTCGCAATATTCCGAAGCAATAAATTTGTAAGATAGGTTTTTTTATTTTGACTTACCAGACTTTTGTGTGCATCCTGTGAAAGGATCTCCGGCATAACCGTTTTCACATTGACACATTGGGGTGTGATTGATAACAGAACATTCAGAAAAGAGTCCACAAGCACCAGGGCATGGATTTTTACATTTTTGATTGATGCAAGCTAACGATGCACTGCATTCACTACTAATTGTGCATTCTGGTTTACAATTAGGGGGATTTCCAATCATTCCTTCAACACAGCTACAAACCGGATATTCTCCCGCTGTTTTACATTGTGAATTAGGTCCGCAAGGTGTTGGAGTACATGGATTTTCTTTTTTAACATCTTCGTATAAAATATTGCATCTGCTGAAAGGATTTCCCGTGTACCCTGGAACGCAGGTACAAACTGGACTGTGGTTTATTACTCTACATTGTGTAAATTCTCCACAGCTTCCCGGACAAGGGTCTATACATTTTTGGTTCATACATGATTTAGATAAGTCACATTCAGAACTAACAATACATTCTGGGCGACAACCAGGTGGAGTTCCTATCATGCCTTGTTGACAAGAGCATATAGCTGTTTCTTGTTTTGTTCTACATATACTGTTCGGGCCGCAGGGAGAAGGAACACATGGGTTTTCAGGTTGCTTTGCAATATATTTTATTTCCTTGCAAGATGTAAATGGATCTCCCGTTGTTCCTTGAGGACATAAACAGGATGGTATGTGATTGGCAGTATTACAAATAGCATTTTGCCCGCAAGTTCCTGGACATGGATCGATACATTTATTTCTGATACAAGCTTTATTGGGAGAACATTCCGTGCTAAGAATACACTCTGGTCTGCAGCCTGAATATGGATCACCACTATATTCTGGGAAACAAGAGCATATTCCATCTATACATTTGGCATTTGCTCCACATGGTGATGGACGACAAGGATCTTCATTCAACTTTGGAGGAGGCTTTTCTACAATCTTCACACATTGTGTAAATGGATCTCCCGTAAATTCGGCCTGGCAACTACATATAGGGACATGATTTTGAACGTGACAATTGGTATTAAATCCACATGCACCATTACATGGATTCTTGCATTTTTCGTTGATGCAAGCTTGACTTGACGAGCAATCAGTATTTACAACACATTCAGGTCTGCAATTAGGTGGCAAACCAACAAAATTTTGCAGACAGGAGCATGATGGTAAGTTACCTTCAGTAACTTTACATTCAGAAAATAATCCACATGGCGAAGGATAACACGGATTGACTGGTTGCCTTGGTTCTTCTTCTTTCACAATAGGAATACATTGAAGGAATGGATTTCCTGTAAAATCTGAAGCACAACTGCATATAGGATTGTGGTTCCTTACTTCACAAATGGCATTTGTCCCACATGTACCTAGGCAAGGATTTTTACATTTAAACTTATGACATGCTTGACGAATTGGACACTCTGAATTTATTGTACACTCTGGTCTACAGTTTGGTGGTTCACCTACAAATCCAGACTCACAAGCACATACTGCCACATTACTTTTTTCTCTGCATGATGAATTAGGACCACAGGGAGAAGGCTGACAAGGGTTTGATACTGGAGGTTCAGTAATGACATCATGCTCAATAGCTTTGCAATTATCGAAAGGTTCACCTCTATAACCATTCAAACATGAACATGTAGGTATATGGTTAATAACTGTGCATTCAGCATTTAGGCCACAAATTCCAGGACAAGGATTCACGCACTTATTTCTGATGCATGCAAGAGTTGATGTGCAATCAGAATTCAAAATACATTCAGGTCGACATCCGTCATATGGATTCCCAGCATAATCTTGAATACATCTGCAAGATGCTGCACCATTTCTATGAACGCATTCTGCATTTTGTCCGCATGGTAATGAATCGCATGGGTTTATTGGTTCTTCCTTTAATATTTGAGGAATACACTGCACAAAAGCATTTCCCGTGAATCTCTCTGGACATGTACATGATATAGTATGGGCGATTACTCTACATTCAGCACTAATTCCACAAACTTCTGGACAAGGATTTTTACATTTATTGTTGATGCAGTTTTTATCCTTTGAGCAGTCATCATTTGTTACACATTCCGGTCTACAGTTTGGAGCTTTGCCAATGTAGTCATTTAGACATTGACAAATAGGATTATTACCATTATTTGTGCATTGGGAATTCGGTCCACATGGATTAGGTACACAAGGATCTTCATTTTCAACAATTACTGGTTTTTTAGGAATTTCAAAACAACTTTTAAATGGATCGCCAGTTTGGTCTGCTGAACAACTGCAGATAGGGCTGTGGTTTATAACTTCACAACGAGCATTGAAACCGCACGTTCCAGGACATGGGTCTATACATTTTTGATTTCGGCATGATTTATCAGGTGAACAGTCAGAACTCAAAATGCATTCTGGTCGACAGCTAGGGGGACTACCAGAATATCCAAGCAAGCATGAACAAACAGCTTGGTTGTTGTAATTTTTACATTGTGAGAACGGTCCACAAGGACTTGGCTGGCAAGGGTTTTCTGGTAGTTTAGGTTCTTCTCGTTGAATTATGCACTTAGTAAATGCGTTTCCTACCATTCCAGAGGGACAGGTACATGTAAGTACATGATTAATTACTTCACATATAGCATCATCTCCACATGTTCCTGGGCATGGATCAATGCATTTATTTCTTGAACATATTTTGTTCCGAGAACAATCGTTATTCAACACACATTCAGGACGACAGCCGCTAGAGGGATCTCCTTGATACTCGGGTATGCAAGAACAGATACCATTTCGGCACAAAGTATTTGGCCCACATGGAGAAGGATTACAGAGATCTTTTGGTTTTTCGGTTGTTATTGGAATTGGCTGGCAAACTCCAAATGGATCCCCTTCGTAACCTTCAATACATGTACACACTGGTATATGATTTTGAACCCTGCATTGAGCATCAATACCACAAGAACTAACACAAGGATCTTTACATTTTTGATTGATGCAAGCTTCTCGACTCGAACACTCAGAATTAAGGACACATTGTGGTCGGCAGTTTGGTGGGGCGCCAATAAAATCTGGGAGACAAGAGCATGCCGGAGTATCTCCACTCATTTGACATTTTGAGTTTGGACCACATGGTGACGGAACACATGATGGTGGAGCAACAGTAGTAACAGGTTCTTGTAAGATTACTGAAAAATGAAAATGATTACAATGTATCAAAAATAAAGAAGCAAGAAATATTACCTATTCTTGAACAATGTGAAAAGGGATCCCCCGTGTACCCATGTGGACAGGAGCATATTGGGTTATGATTTCGAGTTTTACAGTTTGCTTCTATTCCACATGTGTTTGGACAGGGGTCTGAGCATTTCTGATTTATACACGCCAAATTTGAATCACATTCTGAATTAACCACACATTCAGGTCGGCAATTTGGAGGGGTTCCTATATGATTTGGAAGACAAGAACACACTCCTTGTGAATTTACTTCACGACATTGAGAATTTGGTCCACATGGTGACGGAACACACGGATTTGATCGTGGAGGTGGAGTTACAGGTTCTTCTCTGCATAAAAAGAAAGGATCACCAGTATATCCTACAGGGCACGTACATAAAGGAATATGATCTTTCACTTCACAAAGTGCATATGATCCACAAGTTCCTATGCAAGGATCAAGACATTTATTTCTGATACATGCAAGGTTATTGCTGCATTCACGGTTAGATTCGCATTCTCTTTTACATCCTCTGTTTTTATCAAATGGATCGCCTTCATAACCATCAAAACAGAAACAGCTTCCAGCTCCATTGAATTCCCTGCATTCAGCATTTTGCCCACATGGGGAAGGTTCGCAAGGTCGAGCAATTGGTGTTTCAAAGGTAGCTAAAGTTTTTTAATATTGAACAATATTAATGTTAATAAATATATATTTCTCAAATAATTAATATAATTTTCTTACGTAAAGGACTAAGATTACATAGTATAGTAGGATCACCATCATATCCCAAAGGACATGAGCATATTGCATTATGATTTACTACAGAGCATTTGGCATTTGAAGCACAACTTCCAATACAAGGATCTTTACATTTTTCATTCCCACATGCTAAATAGTTAGGACATTCAGTGTTTACTGTGCATTCAGGACGACAATTTGGTGATTGCCCGATATAATTGGGCAAACATGAGCATGCTGCAGTTACACCAACTACTTTGCATTGAGAGTTTGGACCACAGGGAGAAGGAATACAAGGATTTTCAGGTTCTCTATAGACAGGAGCTATAATAATAATGAAAAATGTAAAAAGAATGGTCTCTGAGTGACATATTAAACTTACTTTCTGATTTGAAACATTTAATGAATGGGTCCCCAGTATATCCATTAGAGCAACTACAAATTGGGTTATGATTCACAACATTGCATATTGCTTGTTCTCCGCAAGTGTTTGGACATGGATCACCACACTTGTTATTTAAACATGCTTTATTCAAAAAACACTCTGAATTTGTAATACATTCTGGACGGCACATTGGAGGGGTGCCAATGTAACTTGGACTGCAAGAACATATTGCTTGACCATTTCTTTCATGGCATTGACTATATGGTCCACACGGTGATGGTAAGCATGGATTCTCTATTGGCCTTTGTGTTGCTTTTGTGAAAAAATTACCAAGATGACCAAACTACTGAGTAAATTTAAATAAAAATGAACTTACCAATTTCTATTCTATGACAACTAGTACTAGGATCTCCTTCATAGCCGATTAGACATAAACAGACTGGTGAATGATTTTGCACTCTACATTCAGCATTAGTTCCACAGACTCCTCGACAAGGATCTTTGCATTTGTTTTGGATACACGCTTTAGATTTATCACAGTCGGAATTTTGAACGCATTCAGGTCTACATCCAATGTATGGATCGCCAATATATTCTGGTAAACAGGAACAAGAACCTGCGCCATTCTTTTCTTTACATTCCGCATTTGCCCCACAAGGAGATGGACTACATGGCCTAATTTTTTCTTCCACAGGGGAAGCTAAAAAATTATTAAAAATGAATTAATTTCTTCTCTTTCTACAGATACTGGTTGTAACTAGAGAACATGAGCTTACAGTATATAATTTCAGAGCATATAGAAAAGGGATCACCACTATAACCATTTTTGCATTGACATATAGGATTATGATTATTTACAGTACAGATAGAGTTTAGACCACAAGATCCAATACATGGATCAACACATTTCTCATTTACGCAGGCAAGGTTTGAGGAGCATTCAGCATTTATTGTACATTCTGGTCTACAGTTGGGAGATCTTCCAATGTATCCAGGTAAGCATGAACATGTTGGAATATTTCCTACAATTCGACAAGCTGAAAAAGGTCCACATGGTGAAGGAGAGCATGGATTTCCCGAAAAATCTTCTTTTATAGGCTCTAAAAATTAAATTTATTGCTTTAAAGATTCGAAATAACGTGGTAATCTCTCACTTTGTTCTATTATACATTGAATGAAGGGATCACCAGTGTATCCAAATGAACAACTGCAAATTGGGTTATGATTAATAACTTGACACCTTGCATTTGTTCCACAAGTGCCTGGACAAGGATCAACACATTTTTGATTTATGCAAGCGTTGCTTTGAGAGCATTCTGCACTCACAACGCATTCAGGTTTACAATTGGGTGCTATTCCTTTATACCCAATTAAGCATGAACATACTGCATGGGAATCAACGATTTTGCATTTGGAAAAAGGACCACATGGGGATGGTTGACAAGGATCAGAGTTTTCTTCAACTGTATTGAAAAGAATCATGAGCGAAATGCTAATATTTTGAGATTATTTACTTACAAATAACTTCAGATATTTTGTTACAATATTTGAAAGCATTTCCAGTATATCCATCTTCACAGAAACATAAAGGATTATGCCTCAAGGATTTACAATAAGCATTTATGCCACATACTCCAGGGCAAGGATCTTGGCACTTGTTTTGGGTACAAACTTTTTGTGGTGAACATTCGTCATTTGAAACACATTCTGGTTTACATCCAACATAAGGATCACCAAAATATTCAGGAATACAACTACATGACCCAACCCCATTCTTTTCTTTACATATTGTATTAGAACCACATGGAGAAGGATTACAGGGTTGACTTTTTTCTTCAATAATAGGTGCTAAAATAACAAGTAATAAAGTATAAAAGAAATGAAAGGAAATATATGATAGAAAATTGAGCAACAGTAAAAGAAATATGTTAAAAATAATATAACCTTTTTCCAAATTTGAGCTTAACATTAATGTTAATTTTTACATATAAAAGCTTACTTTGCAATAAATAACAACCAGAAAAAGGATCCCCAGTATAACCATTCATGCATGAGCACTTAGGAGAGTGTGTGACCACTGAACATAAAGCGTTGAATCCACATGAACCAGGACATGGATCTTTACATCTTTCATTAATACACGCTAGATTTGATTCACATTCAGAATTAAGAACACACTGAGGTCTACAACTTGGTGGTTTTCCAAAGTAATTTTGAATGCATGAACATACTGGATGATTGTTAACTGTTTGGCACTGAGAATAAGGGCCACAGGGAGAAGGTATACATGGATTTACGTTTGAAATGTTTGCTATAGAAATGAGTGTAAAATAAATTTTGAAGTTAATATTGACGCAGAAAAATGAGTTTTAGATCTTACGTTCTTCTTTATAGCATACTAAGAATGGATCTCCTGTGTATGAGCTAGGACAACTGCAGATTGGACTATGATTTATTGTTTGACATTTTGCTTTCATACCACACGCTTCAGGACAAGGATCGATACATTTCTGATTATTACATGCTTTGTCTAATGTACAATCTGAGCTCACTACACATTCGGGTCGACAAGCTGGAGGGGTTCCAACATAATTATGGCTACAAGAGCATACAGCATGGCCATTAATAGCTTTGCAATCACTATAGGGTCCGCATGGAGAAGGGTAACAAGGATTTTTTAATGTTGTAGGTTCATCTATTAATAATATGAATTATTGTTTTGAAAATAAAAGAGAATGTGAGGATATACTTTGAGGAATTGGGTAGCAGCCGGTGAATGGGTTGCCTGAATAGCCTAATATGCATTGGCAATTAGGTGAATGATTTATAACTTGACATTCAGTGTTTTTCCCACAAGAACCTGGGCATGGATCTATACATTTCTGATTGAAACAAGACTTTGCTCTTGAGCAGTCTGAATTCACATTGCACTCCGGCTTACAAATTGAGTAAGGATCACCAAAATATTCATCTATGCATGAACAAGATCCTGCACCATTTTTTTCTTTACAAATAGCATTTATGCCACATGGAGACGGTACACAGGGATTTTTTATTTCAGTTTCTTCATATACTAAGAAAATTTTAAATTATTAAATTTTATGTAACAGAAGAATTTGCACAATCTTACATGGAATTGGGGAACATTGAGTAAATGGGTCTCCTGTGTATTGTGGGGGACATCTACATATTCCTTGATGGTATGTAACAGAACATAAAGCATTGACACCACATAAACCAGGACAAGGATCAACACATTTCATATTTATACAAGATAATTTCGAAATGCAATCTGAATTTTGTATGCATTCTGGCCTACAATTTGGGGGACTTCCTAGATGATTTGTTAAACATGAACAGACTGCTCGTTTGTCTAATTCACGACATTGTGAATAAGGTCCGCAAGGAGATGGAGAGCAGGGATTTTCATATTCAATTGGAACATCTGAAGGTTATTGAAGAAGACAAAAATTGGTAAAGATCTAAATGTTATAGGTTAGTTTCTTACTTTGATGATCAAGAACACATCGGATAAAAGGATCACCAACATAGCCAACTACGCAACTGCAGATTGGACTATGATTTACAACATGGCATCTCGCATTAAAGCCACATGTACCAGGGCAAGGGTCTTTACATTTTTGAGCGATGCAACTTTTATCAGGACTGCAATCTGCACTAACTACGCATTCTGGTCGACAATTAGGTGGGCTTCCAATATAATTCACCAAACATGAGCATGTCGCTACATTATGTCGATTATGACATTGTGAATTCAATCCGCATGGGGAAGGGACACATGGATCCGATTTGGAATCATCAATTATAACTTCAGAAAAGGAGATATTGTCTTATTTATATTCACTTTTAAGAAAATAATGTGTCATACTTATTTGCTTTTCATAGCAAGATTCGAAAGGATTTCCAACATAGCCCGCTAAACAATTACAAATGGGTGAATGATTGCGAACAAAGCATTCAGCATTTATGCCACAAAGCCCAATGCAAGGATCAACACATTTTGTATTCATGCAAGCTTCATGCATAGGACATTCGCTGTTTGAAACACATTGAGGTCTACAAGCAATATGAGGATCTCCATAATAATTTGGAATACAACTGCAAGAAACAGCTCCATTAAACTCGCGACATATTGCATTATTTCCACATGGAGTTTTCGCGCATGGTGTTTCGATAGGTGGGAGATAGGTAACTGTAATATAATTTTAGCACTTTTGAAATATGTAAGGCAAGAAGTCAACTTACGTTGAGGTGTTTTATAGCAGTTTGTGAAAGGATCACCTGTGAAACCTTCATTACAGACACAAACAGGAATATGGGAAGTTACTGTACATGTTGTTTCTAACCCACATGAACCATGACATGGATTTTTACATCTTTGATTCATGCATGCTTGGTTTGAGAAACAATCTGAATTAACAGAACATTCAGGTCGACAATTTGGTGGTCTTCCAATGTATGAGGGAATACAAGAGCATATAGCTTGATCGTTATTATTTTTACATTGAGAATTTGGTCCACAAGGTGAGGGTATGCATGGATTGTAAGATTCTTCTTGGATGATTGGTTTATCTAAATATTTTTTAAACATTCGAATTTAGTTCCTAGGTTTGAATTTTAAAATCATATCTTACTTTCAATATAACATATTTCAAATGGATCTCCTGAATATCCATTGTTGCATGTACATATTGGACTATGATTGACAACACGACATATAGCATTATGAGCACAAACTCCAATACATGGATTTATACATTTATTTTTTGAGCAAGCTTGAACTCTTGAACAATCAGAATTAACCATACATTCAACACGGCAATTGGGAGGGACACCAAAGTAATTTTCTTGACAAGAACATACGGGTCTGCCTTCAATTATTCGACAAATACTATTTAGTCCACATGGAGAAGGATGACATGGATTTATTGGGGGGTTTTCATCTTCTATAAGTTATTGACAAATGATATCCATTAAATATTCTGAAACAATTTGCAACAGCAGGACTTACTAAGTTCAATATAACATCTTTCATTAGCATTTCCAGTGTAGCCCTTTAAACAATAACATGTAGGTGAATGGAAAACAACTTTGCATTCAGCGTTTAAACCACAAGCTCCTACACATGAATCAATGCATCTTTGATTGACACAAGACTTACTCCTTATACAATCTGAATTTTGAATACATTCTGGTCTACAACTTATATAGGGATCACCTCTATATTCCTGCATGCATTTACATGATCCAACACCATTTTTTTCAGTGCATATAGCATTTTCCCCACAGGGAGAAGGATTGCAAGGCCGATAAATTTCTATAGGATATTCTACAAAGTTTCCAAAAATAATAATAATAATAATCTTTTTCCCAAACTTTTTGTTCTTATACATATATTTATCTATAAATTTTTTTTATCCTACCTTGTTTTGGACTGCATCCTGAATAAGGATCTCCTTCATGTCCTTCAAAACACTTACACGTGGCTTGGTGGTTTTGCACAGTACATAAGGAATTAAAGCCACAAGATCCAACGCAAGGGTCAACGCATTTAGAATTGAAACAAGCTCTGTTAGAGGGGCATTCCTGATTTATGGTACACTCTGGACGACAATTTGGAGGCGCACCGAACATTCCAGGTATGCAAGAACAAACAGGTCTCTCATTATTAGAATTACATCTGCTATTAGGGCCACAAGGGGTTGGATCGCAAGGATTTTTTCTAGTATCTTCTAGAGCTAAAATGTATATTTTTAAACAAGTTTTAATTAATTATTTTTTTCAAGTTTTAACCCAATATTAAAATTATTCTTACGTTGGAGTGTACATTGAATGAAAGGATCACCAACATAATTTTGAGGGCAACTACAAATCGGGTTACGGTTTATAACTTGACAATTTGCATTAACACCACAAGTTCCAGGACAAGGGTCTTTACATTTCTTGCCAATACAAGCCAATTTGACATCACATTCTGCACTAACAATACATTCTGGACGACATTGTGGTGGGGAACCAATATATCCTGCTATGCAAGAGCAAGCAGGGTGATTTTCAACAACACGACATAACGAACTTGGCCCACATGGATTAGGTTCGCAAGGATTAGAAGTTTCTTGTGGAGGTATATACACAGGAGTATCTTTTCGGCATCCGTTGAAAGCATCACCATTGTAACCTCTTGAGCAACTACAAACTGGTATATGATTTACAACAGTACATTCCGCATTAACACCACAAATTCCTGGACAGGGATCTCGACAAAATTGATTGACACAAGCTAACTGTGGACCACAATCAACATTTAAGATACATTCGGGCCTGCATCCAGTTGAATAAGGATCTCCTTGGTAGGGTGATATGCAAGTACATTTAACAGCATTGTTATAAACACTGCATTCAGCATTTTCTTTACAAGGATTAGGATGACACGGATCTTTGATATCATGTATTGGTTGATATGTTTTGGTACACCCTACAAACGAATCTCCTTCATATCCAGGTTTACAATTGCATTGAGCTGAATGAGCAATGACATGACATTCAGCATTGGCACCGCATGCATCTTGGCATGGATCAAGACATCTTTCTCGAATACAAGCTTTATCATATGGACAATCCGAATTGAAAATACATTGCGGCCGACAATTTGGCGGTTTTCCATTATAATTTTCAATGCAGGAACACACTGGCCTACCCTGCTTTACTTGACATATTGAAAATAATCCACACGGTGATGGTACGCAAGGGTTTTGGTCGATCTCTCTGTTCAGTTCGTCATCTATATGTTGACATGCCACAAATGGATCTCCCCTTAATCCCGAAGGGCAATTACAAATAGGATTATGGTTAACAACTTGACAATTGGCATTAAGACCACAGGTTTGGAAACATGGATCTGAACAACGATGGTTTATGCATACTTTATTTAAAGGACATTCACTGTTTATTATACATTCTGGTTGACATGATGGAGGTGCTCCTTTATATTGAGGAAGACAAGAACATACTGCAACATTTGATGATATTAAACATTTACTGTATGGTCCACAAGGTGAAGGGTCGCAAGGGTTTATGGGCGTCAAAGGAGTTTTTCTTATTTCATTACAATAGACTGAAGCATCTCCAATATGACCTTCAGGGCAGTAACACACTGGGAAGTGATTTACTACTTGGCATAGTGATTTCACACCACAAGTGTTCTCACAGGGATTGACACATTTATAATCCCTACAAGCTTTTTGAGAATCGCAATCTGTGTTTATAACACATTCCGGTCTGCAACCGATTAAAGGATCTCCAAAGAACCCTTTTTTACATTGACATTTCAATACTTTTCCTTTCTGACCACATTCAGTGTTAAAACCACAAACTCTGTTGTCACATGATACTGGAAGTTCATTTGGTTGGGGTGGTAAGCATTGTTCAAATGGATTTCCTATTAAGCCATCTGGACAAGAACATGTTGGAGTATGATTTATCACTTCACATTGTGCATTATGACCACATGATCCCGGACATGGATTAATGCATTTCTGGTTGAAACAAGACTTGTCAAATGTACATTCTGAATTACTTGTACATTCAGGACGACATTCTGGATTTTTGACACCTTCTGGAGAGTAACAACTATCGCAAATAGCAGTTTTTTCGTCATACACTCTACATGCAGCATTTGGATGACAAGGGGAAGGGTTGCAAGGATTTTTCTTTTCATCACGTGCTGGTAATATAACACATTGTGAAAACGAATCTCCAAAGTATCCTTTGCGACACTGACAAACTGCAGCATGGTGATGAACTTTGCATTCAGCGTTAATTCCGCAAATATCGCCATTACATGGGCTTATGCACTTGTGATTTCTACAAGCTTCTGTGCTAGAACAGTCCGAATTTAGTATACATTCAGGTTTACATCCTTGATTAGGATTTCCCTTAAAACCTTGAATGCATGAGCAAACAGGTTTCTTCCTTTGCACTTTACATTGCGTGTATGGTCCACAAGGCGAGGGATTGCACGGATCTATTTGATCGACTCTATCTTCCAAAACATAACAGGATTGGAAAGGATTTCCATAAAATCCTTCATTACAAAAGCAGGCTGGGTGGTGTTTTTCCACTCGACAATAAGTGTTAAGTCCACATGAACCCGGACATGGGTCTTGACATTTGAAACCAATGCAAGCTGTGTTATCGGAACATTCTTCATCTGTTTGGCATTCAAAACTGTGACATCCTTGAATACTTGTGGGATCACCTGTCATACCATCAGGACAGAAGCACATGCTTTTACCATCTGGCGAAGAAACGCATTGTGCTCTTGGTCCACAAGGATTGGGTTGACAGACTGATTTGGGAATTTCATAACAGTTATTATATGGATCACCATAAAAACCTGAGCGACATGAGCATTGTTCCTTATTTTGAACTACAAAGCAATCAGAATTTTTGCCACATGGACCTGGACGACATAATTCCTTTCTAACTGCAGGTTCTGAACAGTAACGGAAAGGATTATCTAATGTTGATCCAGGACAATAACAAATTGGATCACGAGATGAATCACAGATGGCATGTTTACCACATGGGTTTGGATCGCATGGATTTATTGGTTCAACGCATCCTCTTATTGTGTTTGGACTTTCAATATATCCTGACAAACAAGCACACTTAGCAATGCCATTATAAATTGAACACTGTGTATTGGGACCACATGGCGAAGGATCACATGGACTTTTAGGGGGTCCGCATGGTTTACGAGGTGGGTTTCCTTCAAAGCCAGGTAAACAGAAGCATTTTGCTTTACCATCTATTATTCGACATCCTGAATTTGGACCACAAGTGTTGTTTTTCTTACACTCAGAACCTTCAGGTATACATTTTTGGAAAGGATTTCCTGTCATTCCTTTTGGACAGTAACAAATAGGATTCCCTCTGTCTAATTCACAAAGAGCATAATCTCCACAAGGGTTTGGATCACAGAGATTTTCTGGAGGGCCACATGAATGAAGCGGATTACCAGTATATCCTATTGGACATTTGCACGTAGCTTTATGATTATTTACAATGCATTCTGCATTAATTCCACAATTACAAGGTGAAATACATTGACCGTTATTACAAGCTTGAGATAGAGAGCACTCACGATCTGTTTTGCATCCTTCTGCTTTGATACATTCAACAAATGCATTTCCAACGTATCCTGTTTGACAATGACATTTGAAACCATGATTATCAGGAGTACAATAAGCATTTTCTCCACATGAGTCATCATTGCATGGATTAATACAAATTCTGTTGAGACGATCACAAAATTTGTCTGGTGGACAATCTTCATTGTACTGACATACAGGGACATAATCATCAACTAATAAGAAAATAATTTTTAGATTGAACTAAATATTAAAAAAAAGTCATTTTTTACCTAATTGACATCCAGCATATCCATTGCCATGATAGTTTTCAGCACAACTGCAATCTGAACCATGATTTACATTTATACATATAGCGTGCTCTGCACAAGGATTGCGAATATCACATGGGTGTTGACAAACATTTTGAATGCAAGCTTCAGTGAGTGAGCATTCTTCATTGACAGTGCATTGTACTGGTGCATTGAATAACATTTATTGAAATGGTGTTTTTGTAAAAGAAAAAATTAAGAATATTTATAAATGTGCGAATAAAATTGTTGAAAAAATTTTAATAAAAAATCGTGAAATAAATTAATGATTTAATAAGTTATTCGATGTTTAAGTTCATTATTATTTTCTTTCATTAATTCATTATTCAAATTATGCTTCAAGCATTTTATTTTTTAGAAACATATGTTAAGTTCTTACATAATTTTCTGGTAGTGCAATTAGTAGCTGGATTTCCTTCATGTCCTTTTGGACAAACACAAATGGGTCTATGCCGCTTCACTTGACAAATAGCAGAGGAAGCGCATACTCCACGCATCTGACATGGATCTTCGCAATAACCCATATAACATAATTCCGTTTCAATGCAGTCATTGTCGGAATTACAAAGCTCAGGTTTTTTTGGCATTCCTGGTTCTGATTAATAGAAATTATTTTAGGATTAAGTTCGTAATGAGAATGGTACGAGTACTTATATGAAATTTTGTTTTCAAATGAAATGTTACTACTTTTCTAAGAAAAATAATTATACTAAGAACCCAATCACCTAGACGAAAAACGATATTTAATTTATAAAAAGACTTACCATTTTTCTAAGATCTACATAATCTAGTTTTGCAGAGTCAAAAGTGAGTTTGTTAGTCATTTTTTTTTAAAGCTTTTATAAAGTGAGTAATATTTTGAAGATTAAATTTATGTCATTCCTTAGCTTTGGTTTATAAAGTAAAAGTTCAAGCAAGAATAGTTAACATAACAACCATTCCTTACCTTGAATACATGCACCTGTAAACATGTCACATTTTACTCCTGGTGGACAGTGTGGACACTCCTTTGAGTATGTTGGTTCTTGTTCTAAAAAATTTATTGAAGATATAGTGGATTTAATTATTTATACTACAAAAACACTAATTAATTGAAAATTACGTTCGATGCAGTCACATCCATTACAAACAGTGTTAGGTCGGCAATCAGATTGTTTTTGACATTGGCAAACTATTGTGAGAAGTATCATTAATAGTATACATCATTAAAATTGCAGATCGATTTTTGCAAATACCTTTAATGCACACAGCTTGGTGATCAACAACCTGACATTCTTGGTTAAGCTCGCAAGGGCTGGAATATGCACAAGGATCTCCACATCGTCCATTAATGCATGCTTTTTGTGATAAACATTCGTCATCACGTTTGCATCCAATTTCTACAACGATTTATTGAAATTATAATATTTTTCTATTCTTGTAAAATACATTGATATAAAAATGTTTATTTTATACAAAAACATGTCCAATTTCCATATTTTTGTACATGCATATCTACAATTTAATCATGCTTTCTAAATAAGTATCCCTTCACCAGTTTTATATAAATTGTTTATCAAATTGTAAAGTAAATAATACATATTTACAAGTTTAACATGATGAAATAAAATCTCAAATATATACAATAATAAGAGAATGACCAAAGACAAACCGTTTTCTATTTCAGAGCTAAATGAAGCAATCAATTCGACTAGAAACATGTAAAGAGTAGCAGCCATATATATGTAATTTTATTTAATTTTTTAATTTCATCTGTATTCATATAGCTTGGACTGGTTAAAAAGTAGATAAACTTTCATTGAAAACAATGCTTTTAAAAAATACCAATCAAAATAAAATCAAATAAAAAAATGAAAATTTAAATCGAAACTGACAGAAAATAAATCGAGACTGACAGAAATTATCATTTAATTTGAAGTTTCTATGGAATACATTTTCTATAAATGAATTTAATCTAAAGTATCCAACCTATCCATCCATTTTATATATTTCGTGTTGGAATATTTTTTGAGTTTGTGAGACTTTTACTTATTAAAATAATATAAAAATACATAAAAGAAAACATTGAAAATTTCAGTTTTTTTTATGATGTTGGAAAAATATTTACCGAAATTATAAACATTACTAGATGAATGAGACGTATATGGCAACTACTGAACAAAAAGAATCTACCTACAAATATACATAGTAGAAGGCTATATATATATTTATAAATTTTAAAAATGAATATTTCATGTAACATTTGTTACCGTGACTTTCAATTTCGTTACTACATGAACTTCTAATATAATTTCAAGTTCACTTTGATACTTATAAATTTAAGAAATTCCAATGAATGCAAGAAAAGTTTTCAAACCATGCAGCGGCTGCAGAAGTTTCTGCAGTATTTTTGAATTGAATGAAACTATTGTTTTTATTTAGTCTCATTCTAAAATAATGATGAAGATTGCAGATGCTAAATAGAAAACTTTAAAATTCCTAAATTATAGTGAATTTATTCTTCTATCAAATAACAAGCTAGAACGGTTTAAACTTTTGACTTCTTCAATTCTTTATAACTCTTTCCTATGGCTTAAGTTGTTTTGCCAAGAATAAGAGACTCCGTTCCAGCTTGAAATTGAATCATAACTTTATCCATAGTCTTATGGTGGTTTGACTTTTGTCATGATCCAAACTATTTATCAAAGTCTGAAGAAAATGTAGGGCCCACTATTTTTACCTGGCTTTTCAGTGCAGTTTTGCGAAGTGGCGAGTTCTGCTTCTGAACATAAGCAAACGATTGAAAAGTTGGAAACAATGCAAGAAATATTTACGGGACAAGGATTATAAAGGAAACAAGGATCAATACATCGATTATCAATGCAAAGTGTATTATTTTGACAGTCTTCATTAATCCAACACAAAGATAACCCATCCGTGGTTTCTTCAACAGCAGTTGTAATCAGCTCTTCAGAATCATTGTAATGTACTGTTCTATCATTTTCCAAAAGATATTCTCTTGTCGATTCTTCGAATGTTGTAGTTTCAATGTCCTCTGTGAAACTATCGTTTACATAATTTGTTGTCGTTTCAATGCCTCTTGTTGAATGATATTCGGCTTCAGGGTTCTCTAAATCTAAAAACTCTTTAGAATCTTTCATAGGATGCAATGTTCCTAACATGTGAACAGTTGTCTGCTCAAAAGTTTTCTTAAACCCACTTTTAGTGACTGATGTGTGAGTGCTTGATATTATACCGTCGCTTTCATTGTCAGATTTACGATGCTGCTTTGAAAGCAAATCTATTTTTAAGTCCAACCCTTTTTCAGTCGGGCTTTGCGGCATCTCCTGTCCTGTAGATACTTCAGGAAAATCAGTTGTAGCATCTACTTCCGTTGTAACACCAGGATATTCAGTGTCAAAAGATGAACTTGTTGTAGTTTTCGTAAGATAAGTTGAATCAGTGACACCATCAGGAAGCTCAGTCTCTTCACTTGAGCTCCTGGTTGTTGGAATGGTGGTAGAAATTCCACTGCTATCATAAGTTGTGAATTCTTTTACTGTTTTTCCATCAGGATATTCAGTGTCAAAGGATGAACTTGTTGTTGTTTTCGTATCAGAAGTTGAATCAGTGACACCATCAGGAAGCTCAGTCTCTTCACTTGAGCTCCTGGTTGTTGGAATGGTGGTAGAAATTCTACTGCCATCAGAAGTTGTGAATTCATTTACTGTATT